GCGATCCGCCGCCGCCGCTTTGCACCTTGCAAATGCAAAAACCCCGGGATTTTGCATTTGCAAGGTGCAAAGCGGCGGCGGCGGATCGCGCGTGCTGGAAAGGGCTTGACTGTATTACGGAGAAAGAGAGAGAGAGGGAGAGATCATAAGAACGGCTCTTGCTTTTTTCTTGCAAGGGAGAGAGTGACTCCTGCCTCCCACTGTCATCATCATCTTCTTTTGGGTTAGTGAATCAATTAAACCTTTCATGATAGTGAGATCGTTTCCCAAATTTCCCTTAAATCAGGGAAGAAATCAGAAAAAACCTTTGGACTGAGAATAAGCCTGTTCCTATGATGCCATTTTTGTTCACTGCAGTGTGAAAAGTGTGAAAAAACACACTTCTTTTTCTTCATCTTCTTGTTCCCTATTTACTGGTCTCTTTCAAAGAGGAAATTGTGAACATCAAACTTATTCTCAAATGTCCTAGTGAAAGTTTTTATTGGTATCTATTTTTATTTTTGAAATTTACCAGTAGCTGCTGCATTTCCCACCCTAGGCTTATACTCGAGTCAATAAGTTTTCCCAGTTTTTTGTGGTAAAATTAGGTGCCTCGGCTTATATTCGGGTCGACTTATACTCAAGTATATACGGTATGTCTGAAATGCTAGATAAATGAGGCAATTGATTAAATGCTGCATTGGTAAAACTTCTTTATTATCAGTGGAACTGTTTAATTGGCATTGATCTGCTGGTCATGCTAAAAGAGTGAGTATGTTCTGTCTATGCATCCTTTTTTAATTGTCTGGTCATGTTTAGGTTATTTTGAAGCGTATGATTCATTCTACATGCTATGTTTGATATCTGAATTTAAGGAAATATAGCCTATTTGTTCTGGAAACTGTAGAACAACGAAAAATACAGCAGAAAGGGATACTTTTTGGAATTCAATATGAAATGGCACCCTTTACATAAGAATTTCCTAAAGTGTAGAATATATTGTGTATTGGCTAATTTAAGACCCTTTTGGGACATATGAACTTGGTCATTGTTATTATGTTTTGAAAATATTAATTCCAGCTCACATATAAATAAAATGGGAATAATTCAATCTGAATTGTCCTTTCTTCTCTAGGATGCTGTGACTGTTCTTTTAGCTAGGACCACAGCTCAACTGGAAGCTGTGGAGAGAGAGCTTGCAGAGGAAAGGGTAAAACTGGAGTACACAGAAGAAGAAATACAACAGATGGAGCAAAAAGAGGATCAGGGAGAAGCTGTGTCAGAGAGGTACTTTTTATTGTGAAGAATGCATACAATAAGAATGTGCAGAAGTTGGACAGCCATGTATATCCATCTATAGTGTCGTAAAACTGATTCCACTTCTGATGTTTGGTATTTTGACATGAATCCTAAATCTATCCAATTAATTCTAGCATGATTTCCCCTCTTTATTGTAGGAAGTATCTTAAGCATTTGTAGCTGAAACAGACTTAAAATGTTTTAGCCTTCGAGCTAAACTTAAGGAGTACACAAATCCATATTCTTTTCTGAGCCAACATGAGTTCATGCACGTTTCAAAAAAATTTTAAACATAGAATAAATAGCATTCTATACATCTGAAAAATACATATGTATTTTTGAGCCAACATGAGTTCATGCACGTTTCAACAAAATTTTAAACATAGAATAAATAGCATTCTATACATCTGAAAAATACATATGTAAGCAGTAATTACTACTGTGAACATAAAGAAGCCATCCTATTGATCGTGATTTCATACCTGAGGAGTCTAATAACAAAGATTGCATATTTGTTAGGATTATGATGCAGTAAAATACAATATAGAAATCAACCTGTCTGAACTGCTCTGCCAGGTATATTAAGGGTGTGGTTACAATATAAGACCTTTTCAATTATGACGACCATCACTTGAATATCTTCCTAGGAAGGGATTATATTGTCTGCCTCCAATTGATTGATTTAGTGTATTATCCAATATATACATCTTATTTTCTCTTAAATATAAATACAAAAATTTCTGATCCCTTGGTGGCTGATTTTAAATGGTTTGGTTGTTCTGTTTTTCTCTAAGTTGCCTATTGCTCATTCAGATCACTAGTTACTGAATTTCATAAAATAAATCAAATAATCATTAAAACAATATAAAATATTTCCTCTACAGAAGCTGGCAAGCAGAATCAGTTGATAGTGGATGTAGTAATTGTATGCAATCCAGTCATCACTTGGACTCCTATTGTGGTGAATCATTGCAGATTCCCATGTTTGCATCTCAAACAGATCGGTGTATTTCTGGAAAAAATCTGGCTTCAACATTAAAGGCAAGTAAATATAACTGGTACAGTTTTTCCTGAATCTTTATGGGACTTGGCTTGGATTTTTTATTTAAATCATGATGGCTTATTTTCTTCTTTTTTAAAAAGAAAGCACTATGAATTTGATTTTTATTATAAGTATGGTATAGTAATGGACTAATTACTTTAAAATTTTCCCTAAAATATTTGTGCTTTCTTTGTGAATAAAAGTATTGAGATTTTGATTGTTACTATAGGTGGACAAGGAGACTAATACAGAAGATCTTTTTCCTGAAGAAATGGTTTTGTCTCATAAAAACAGACTAGGCCGTCGCTCCCGTGGTTCTGCATTTGTTCGTAATAATACTATTGTTCGCTCACATACATTTTCACCTGGTGCACGAAGTCAATATATTTGCAGAGTGAGTAGAAAATGTCATAGCAAAAGTCATTTGGAATGCCAAATAATTCTTTCTAAAATGTGTGTAAATGATCTATCAGCAGAATACATATTTTCAAGAACTTTTTCCCATTAATTAATACAAGTCAAGCTATCTACAAAGGCTTTTTACTGTATATGTGTAATGGAATAGCTAGATAAGATTTGAACAAATCAGTGTATAGAGTTTGCTATCCTCTTCATGCTTGTTGCATTCTAACTCATATCAGCTCTAATCAGAATGATGAAAAACAATGCCATTGAAGATTTGTCAAAATCTGGATTGTTTTATATTAGATAGTGGATTTTTTTTATACAAAGTACATTATTCTAAAGCACGAAACATAATTTAGTTAACAAGTATTATGGATTAAGTATTAATCCATAGGACAGGTTACATTACAGGTAAATTTTATCTATATTTTGCCCAAATGTCTATATTCTTCCTTCTGAGGATTTTCACTATCATTACAAGCATTGCTTATATCTTACAGTATCATTACCTTGCTGATGAATTTTTTCATGGGAAAGTTATGGCAGAATCTGCTTCTGAAAATATCATTCCTTAAATTGTGCCACACTTATAGCACAGAAGTCATTTTCCTCAGCTGATCAGGGAAAGGGGTTCCTGCAGATAAGGGAAGATATAGATATGGGCAAAAATGCATCCATTTCCAATTCAATTATTCATTGATTTTTCATTTGGTTTTTTTGGGGGGAAAAAATGATTTTTTTTTGTTGCTATCGATAAATCAATAAAAGGAGATATAAGAATGATAAAACTGAAATTTTCATCAGATTCAAATTAATATGGATACCTATAATAAAATTACTGTCTTTAAACTTTAAATTGTATTAAGATTGACTTTAATCAGTGTTTTACATCTTTCTGTCAGCTATATCGTAGTGATAGTGACAGTTCCACTTTGCAAAGAAAGTCACCTTTTATACGGAATACTTTGGAAAGGCGTACGCTGCGTTATAAGCAGGTATTTAATAGTCTGATCTTATGATAAATGTTACAATTATGCTCATATAGTTAATAATAAAGGCTTGCAATAAGGTGTTCATTAGTTGTTGCTGTGTTTTATTTGTCTCATATAACTCCTTTTATTATTGATACTGCCTGACATTTTTATTATATATTTGACTAGACTTTTCATTACTTTATGTGAATTACCCATCATTGTTAAAAGAAGGCCAGATGATAACCGCATCTTTTTATTGATTTGATTATTTTAATATATGTTCAGTAGCTAGATAATGTCTTGATTAATATTGGTATCAAGAAGATTCAAAAAGGCTATTTGTTAGTGGCATACAGAAGCTAGCTTGGACATCAGTCTGAGGAAGACAAGTCTTATATAAAACCACAATTGAAGAACAATAGTGCATGCTTTATCAATATTTCCTAACACTTTTTTAAATAGTGCATAAAATGGTTAAGAATAAATACTTATACCAAATTAGAAATCAAGCAGGAATAGGTAGACATTATAGATAAAAATTCAGTTTTTATAAGGCACAAAACAATTAAAATAAGGATAAATAGAAACTGAAACTGACAATAGATTAAAAAAATAAAATGGAAAATTCATGTGATACAGTATATTGTATACTTTGAACCGTGGTTCTTTTTCCATTTTCCATATGTTCCTACTATAAGATAGATAACCTGTTTTTAAAACCGGACCTGTTATCTGCCAGTTTCTCCTAAAAGGCAAACATTAAAAATGCTTAATTTCTTAAAGTGTATCAATTTGCAGTAAATAAAAATAAAAATCTGTTTGATAACATGTATCAGTAACTTTAAAATTATATGGGTTAATTTATCAATTGTATATATTAGACATATTTTATGAACAAGTAATTCAATGACTTTATATTTGTAAAATATCATATTTTAATTTTTCTGACATTTTCATTTGTCCTGAGTAAAGAGCAGCTTTCTTCCACTGCTTCAACATTTCTGGAAATTTAATCCCAGCAATTTCATGATAAATTCCTGTTAGTTTTAATTGGGATTATATCAGTGCAAATATAAGTGTAAAATTAAAGTAAGAAGAAAAGGAAAACAATCTTAACGTAAGACATGGTGAAGAGGATATATGCCAGCCCCTAATTGTGTAAATGTGGTTTAAAGTTGTCCCATTTAACCTATAGTGGACCAATTTCTGCCTGAACATAACTGAACCAATTTTCTCCTACTGTTTTTGCTCACCATTGTGCAACAGCTGTATACCTGTGAAATAGTTTAGAGCCTTATAATTCTTTCTAAGACGGATAGAGGCATTGCCATAATTTTTATATTATTGTAGCATTCATGTAGAACATCTTTGGCTGATCTTATGGAAAGGACTTCCCTAGACCTGGAGCTGGATCTTCAGGCATCAAGAACAAGGCAGAGACACTTAAATGAGGAATTATCTATTCTAAGAGAATTGCGGCAGCGTCTGGAGGATGCCCAGCTTAGTGGTCAAACTGATCTGCCTCACTGGGTCATTCGTGATGAACGATTCCGAAATTTGCTGAAGGAAGCAGAAAGGCAGGTATGGAATCATCTGAACATTTAATACAGCTTGTTTTTATCGTTCATACAGCAATGAGATATAAAAATCAGATTTGTGATGTTTAGTTTTTATAAATATTTAAGAAATTATTGAAGAGCAAATATAAATAATTTAACAGCTTGAAGTAATGCTCTTGTATCAAGCACAGGAAAAACAGGTCTTAAATTGTTTAGAGTGGTCAATGCCTGGAATGCACTACCTGATTCTGTTGTTACATCCTGTAACCCCCACTCCTTTAACCTTAAACCATCTACTACTGACCTCACCCCATTCCTAAGAGGTCTATAAGGAGTGTGCATAAGTGCACAATCGTGCCTACCATCCCTGTCCTATTGTCCCCATTTATTTGTACCTATTTCTTGTATTCTTACTCATGTTTATTCTTATATCTATTATCTTGTAAGCAATTGACAAATAAAATAAATAAAATAAATAAAACTAAAAAAATAATTTTTTGCTTCTGGAAGAAGTTGATTTAAATATCCCCTAATATATAATATAATATAAAATATAAAATAGGGCATTCTCTTCTCTTTCTCAATCATTCATATCTGTTGCTAAGTCTACTGATATGGAACACTCCAGAAATAGGATTTAAAAACAAACCATCCTTGGAGTATGTGGAAAACTGCTTCTGCACTTACAAAAAAGTAGAAAATAAACCCAGTGTCAAACTACATGAGCACTTACATTGAAGTGGTCTGATAAAAATCTGTTTTTATCAGATTTTTAATGTTTAAAGGTTTTTAAAAAGTTATGTGGAGCTATTTAGAAGTCTATTTGGATTCATAATTCTTTTCAGATAATATAAGATAGTGTTTATGTTTCAGAGGGTGGATTTACATCTAGTAATGTATACATTTCAGATTTATATCCTAAAATCCTAAATAGAGATTTGTATCAAAATGATTATAGGATAGATGAATTTGTGTTGCATTGTTTTGTGGGAGGAGGAATTTTTACTAGCAGTTTCATTCATTTTCATATCTTAAATATAGCTTTAACAATGAGTGTAATTTTAATTGTAACAGATCTGCTGCCCCCCCCCCCCAAAAAAAAAAAAAAAAAAAAAAAGACTGAGACATTGAATTTTCCATATATAGTCTAATACCGATGTGGTATTTAGCTGGTTCGGACTGGTTTTGGCATCCAGTAGCGGAAATTTTGATCAGTTTGGAGAACCGGCTAATACCACCTCTGACTGGCCCCACCACCTTCCCCCCTTTTCCTGTCCTATATGCTCTTGTTTTTTGGATCAGCTGATTCGTGTGGGAGAGCGGATTGCCATGCCTCAGCTGAGCTAAAAAAAAAAACCAGCTCACCTCACTAGTGCTGACACAGAGGGCAGTTTTTGAGTGTTGCGCTGCACAATCAGTAGGAAAATCGCATCACTGGCTGGCCCCGCCCGCCGCACCCCACCCTGCCCTATATATCTTGCCTTCGCCATACGGCCTGGCTAATCTCTGCTCTGCGCCTCGCATGTTCTGCTCACCAAAGGTAAGCATGCCTCCTGATCACCCTTCTCCTCGGGTCGGGGCCCAGGGATGCTCCATTCCCCAGCTCCAGCCTTGGTCCGGAGCCTCTGCCTGCTTCCTGTTCATCTCAGCTGGGTCAGGGAAAGCACCATTTCCCTGCTCTGGCCTTGCCCCAGGCCTCCGCTCACATGCCGCCACACCACCTAGCCTCAAACTACAGCCCCTCGGCCTGTGGCTGCTGCGCTAGGCCAAAGAGCCACGGTGGGGGGTGGCATGGGCACAGGGGGCAGAAGCAGCTTGGGAATGGACCAGACAGTTCTTCTTATCTGTAAGAAGTCCTATCCAGAAAGCACTGCAGCACAGATCCTTCATCTGCTTCTGTCCCTTGTCGAGACTTGGTCACTCGTGGAAATACTTATATGTGCTCTCCGGGTTGGCAGCTGCTTCTCTCCAATGCTGCCCTTGCTGAGAGAGCATCTTGTGCAGTTTAGCAGCTGTGAGCTGCCGCTTTTCGGCTATTTGGTCGAGTCTTGCCACATAGCGGAAACCACACATGTGCGGAAACCGTGCAAGTGCGCATGCACAGAAGCCCTATGTGCGCACATGTGTGGAAGTCGTGCGTGCATACACACCACACTTACATTTTTGGCGAACTGGTTATGGAATTATTTGAAACCCACCATTGATCTAATAGGAGTTTAGGCCCATAGGAACCAATTTGGAAAAGTTGATATTAGGAATGGCTCTGTTAGAGAAATTGCTGAATGTCCATTCTTTTTCTGTGCTTATTTGTATACTGCTATCTATCATTTTAAGCCAAGTTAGTGCTTGCTTGCTTGTTTATTTATTAATTAATTATTAAATTTAAAGGTCCATCCAACTATATAAGACTCTGAGCGGTATGCCACATTAAAAATAGTAAGAGCAAAGAAGGATTAACCAAAAAACCTCCATTTCCCTCTCATCAATAAAATGCTATTGACACCTATCTTATCACTAGGCATGGGTAAAAATCCATGTTTTCAAGGATTTGTTAAACATCTTGACTGGGCAGAAACAGTCAAAGATAGGCAATACCTCAGATAACCAGTAGGTGATAGCTATCATTTTGAATAGCACCCCTTCTTCCAGCTATTACTTCCTTAAAGATATAGGCCTAGGACACAAAAAAATCACTCCATTTTTGAAATAGGAAAAAAATTACTAATTATTGAAAGTTATAACCCACTAAATAAATAAATATAAATTATATATATATATATATATATATATATATATTTGGTTATTCGGGTTTTCTCCCGCATAAGATTGGAATTATCTAGGCAACGTTTCGATGAAGTCTCATTCATCATCTTCAGGCTTGTGTCTTCGGCTCTGTGCTTCTCAGAGTGATGTGAGCTTGCTGCTTCTTCCTTTTAACTGCCTTTTAACTTTCCCTTTAACTTCCTTTTAACCCACACCCACGAGGGCCACACAAGATGCCACCACCACACTTCCACGTAAAAAGCAGACTCACCCACACAGAAGATGAGACACGACCACGGACCAGAAGCCGCACTGCAGCTGCATCACTACCCACTTCAAACCCCTCCGAGCCATACATGAAGCGTACTGACACCCACCATGAAGATGCGGCACAACCACGAACTCGAAGCCAAACAGCAGGATCACAGCTCACCAGCTCAAATCCCCCAGCAACTAAGACTAACCTGAGCACAACGAAGCCCCCACCTGAACAGAACACACCTCCAGCCAATCAGAACATGGCCAACCCCCCAACCAATCAGAACACAGCCAAACCCCCAACCAATGAGAACACACCCCCACCCAATCAGAACACAGCCAAGCCCCCACCCAATCAAGTCACACCCCCACTAGCAGTTAAAAGGAATATATACTACAATGACGTGGGAAAATACCCGAACAAAGCCGAATGCCACACATACATACATACATACATACATACATACATACATACATACATACATTTATTTATATTTATATTTATATTTATATTTATATTTATATTTATATTTATTTAAAGGTCCACTAATCTTGACTTTTTTCAAGCTGAGTCTAGAAAATAAAAAGGGGCATTGTTATTTTTATAGTTTGTACATTGGGTTTTTATTCTTTGTAAGAGCCACTGAGAATGAGTGGACAATCAAATTCTCTAACTAAGTAAATAAATCTAGAAAATATTGGAGGCATTATTGGTAGGCAAAAGCTTAACTTGAGGTTTGATATGAGGCTTGTTTTGGATGAGGTGGCATTTCCTGGAAAGTATAGTTTACAGTTTGGGAATTTTCCAGGAACCGCCATTTGTCATTGAATTTGCATATGGCATTTGTGCTTCAAATGGCATATGTGTAACTTAACAGCTAGTACACCAAGCATGATCCTTCCTCAATCAGTCCGATGGTTACATGCATCTTGTTTTGCAGTATTCTTGTTGTGGCCTGTCGGCTGCCAGCAGAGATAGCTGCAGAGTCAGATGAGAAGGAGGAGGAGGGACAACCTGGGCCAGCTTCGGATCCTTTGGAAGGCTCTGATAAGGAAACAGCATCAGAGGCAGAGCCAGGGCCTTCCATCCTCCCCCAGGTGGAGAGGCAGCTGTCTTCGGGGGCCTGAGTTGAATGAGGGGGAGGAACAGATGGGTCCCATCCCAGATGTGCCTATGCACAGAGAGGAAAAGAGAGTTGAGCAAAGGAAAGCAGTAAGGTGGCTCTCAGGGAGATGCAGACGCAGCCCTCCCTGGCTGGGAAATAAATAGGAGTGGTTTGGGAGTTATCACAAACAACTGTTTGTTTCTGGTATACAAGCAATTCGGATTTCTTGGATAAACCCAGGTTTGTTGGGACTACCGTATTTGCCGGCGTATAAGACGACTTTTTTGCCCTGAAAAAGATGCCTCCAATTGGGGGGGTCGTCTTATATGCCGGGTCGTCTTATATGCCGGCAAATAGTAATTGGGAAGCACTGCGGCTGCCCGCGGCTGAGGCACTTTTGCGCACCGTGGAAACGAATCCCGTGAAGCCGAAAGGAGCAGCCAGCCTTCTCCCAGCTCCCAAGGAAACGAGGCTCGCACCGCCCGAGCTCCGCTGAGGTATCCGGCTGGGGCTGTCAGGAATTGTTACCGCTGGCGCGGCTCCAGTCCCGCGTTGCCTCGGGAAGGGAATGGCAAAACCAGGAGCCGCTGCTGCCATTGCAAAGCGCCGCCGCGGCTCTTCCTTTTTGCCTTTCCCTTCCCGAGGCAACGCGGGACTGGAGCCGCG